ACCTTAATTCTAGGCAAAAAAAAACCTATACCTATGCATGTATCGATTTGGCATCAGCTGTATCATTCGACTGCAGCGAGAAGTGATGGACGGAAAGAGGCCACTGGCCTGATGGGTCAAAGCATCTAGCTGTTGGGCCAGGAACCGGTCGAGACCAACTCGATGGAGCGCCCACGCATACCACTCAGGCTGCAAGTGGGACTCTCCGCGGGAGGCCCGCATCCGCCCCACATCAGCCGCATAGTATAAGCGGGAGGCCCGCATATTTTTACGCGGGATAAGCGGGTTTAGCGGGCAACCCACATCCTATTAAACACTGAGTTCATACACTCAAATGAGCAGCTGAATCCAAATGCGTACAAGCAGGGCAGGATGCAACAAATACTCAAATGTTCATGCATTCTGAATAGTGATCATGGAACACCAGAACTTCTTGTGCTGACAGACATCGGAAAGGGACCCGAAGCTGGACATCGTGCACCCATCAGAAGTAAATGAAACAGAGAATGAGTGAATGATTGTTGATCGATCGATGAGAGATGGATGTGCGTGGCGACCATGATAGAGCTGGACGAGGATGACGCTACGACCGTGTCCATGGCGGCGCTAATACAGCCGTGGACGAGGTGGACGGCGGCTCTGCGAGTATGACGGAGCTGGACGACGACTATGGCGGCGCTAAGGCTGCCGTGGCCGAGGTGGACGGCTGCGACCATGACGGAGACGGCGAGGACGTCCATGGCGGCGCTAAGGCTGCCCTGGCTGAGGTGGACGGCGGCGCTGCGGCCATGGCGAAGCTACACGGCAGCATGTTCTAATCCAAAAAGTAGGATCGCATCAGGCGGCGATCGGAGGAGGCGACCGGGATCCCTTGCGCGCCGCCGGTGACGCCGCCGGTTCCCTCTCTCTCCGTCGGCCGCTCCGGCGGCGGGAGGGAGGGGGAACCCCGGGTCTGTTCGCTAGGTGAGTGTGTGGTAGGGTTAGGGTTGAGGGAGACGCTGCCGAGGCCGTTGCGGTGGTGTCGCGTCGGAATAAGTTTCTCCGGGCTCCGTTCGCGGTCAGGCGAGGCTTTGCCTTCGTCTAGGAGCCAGCGGTGTTGGGGATCCCCGGATCTCGTCGAGGTCGCGGGCTATGGTGGTTGGAGGTCCATCGGCACTGGCCGTTTGGATCCTCAGATGGGCGATGGATGCAAGGAGGCGAAGACCTTTCTTCTTCCTTATTGGTATGATTTGTTGTTGGTGTTCTTCTCCTTCCTCCGCGCTGATGCTGGTGGGAGATCCTGCTTTGTCCGGGCGGATGGCCCGGCCGCGGTGCTGGACCGGTCGGATGACTCGAGTTCTCTTCCTTTCGGAAGGGACACTTTTCGCGGTACTCAAAGTCAAAGATGGCGACGACTGTTGCAGGTGTGTTGGATTGATGTCCATGCCTCTCAGCGCTGGTGTCAAGAAAGGAGGAAGCAGCGTGGCGACAATTGTACCATGGTCGAAGATGATGACCTGTTTGTGACTGGTTGCAGATCCTTCTACTGCAGGGGTTTTCTCTCAAGATTCAGGGATGATGACACAGGGCTCCGGAGATCTTCTTGTTTTATGGTTGTCTTAGGGTACTCTATGTGTTCATGGTCCTTTGTGTTTGCGTTTCAGTGTGCTGGTAAAAGTCAACTACTTTGTACTGATTCGTAATTTGAATGAAGAATTTCTCTCTCTCTCAAAAAAAGAGCATGTTCTAATCCACAATGCATCGTCGCGGCGTGCCCTTATTGAAGGAAGTGAGATAGACGTGGGCTCGATGCGGGCACCGCGGAACAAACTCACATATCCCACATATCTTGTCGCACTATCCGTGGGCGTCCGCTAATGTAGATTATGTGGGCTTTTAAGTGGGCACCGTGGGCAGCCCACGTCCACTTGCAGCCTGACATACCACACATACAGACGCGATGAACTCCACCCAGGCGCGACGCAACCCAGCTAGCGCAGCGGCGGCTGGCCAGGTCGCGAGGACCAGGCGGGCGACCGACGACGGGTGCAGGATCAAAAGTATGTCTAGAGGGGGGGGGTGTGAATAGACTACTTGACCAAATAAAAATCTAGCATTTTTCCAATTTTAGTTCTTGGCAGATTTTAGCAACTTAGCACAAGTCAAGCAATTAACCTACACATGCAATTCTAAGAGTATAGCAGCGGAATGTAAAACAATTGCATATGAAGGTAAAGGGAGGAGTTTGAGGGAGCAAACGAAATGTTGACACGGAGATTTTTTAACCGTGGTTCCGATAAGTGATGTTATCGTACATCCACGTTGATGGAGACTTCAACCCACGAAGGGTAACGGTTGCGCGAGTCCACGAAGGACTCCACCCACGAAGGGTCCACGAAGAGCAACCTTGTCTATCCCACCATGGTCGTCGCCCACGAAGGACTTACCTCACTAGGGTAGATCTTCACGAAGTAGGCGATCTCCTTGCCCTTACAAACTCCTTGGTTCAACTCCACGATCTTGACGAAGGCTCCCAAGTGACACCTAGCCAATCTAGGAGACATCACTCTCCAAGAAGTAACACATGGTGTGTTGATGATGAACTCTTTGCTCTTGTGCTTCAAATGATAGTCTCCCCAACACTCAACTCTCTCTCACATGATTTGGATTTGGTGGAAAGAAGATTTGAGTGGAAAGCAACTTGGTGAAGGCTAGAGATCAAGATTTATGTGATAGGAATGGAATATCTTGACCTCAACACAAGTGTAGGTGGTTCTCTCTCGGAAAATATATGTTGGAAGTGTAGGCATGTTCTGATGGCTCTCTCCACAAGTGAAGAGTGGGTGGAGGGGTATATATAGCCTTCATACAAAATCTAACCGTTACACACAATTTACCAAACTCGGTGGGACCGAGTCATGAAACTCGGTCGGACCGATTTAGGAAATAATGTGACCGTTAGGATTTTCGGTGGGACCGACATGTCATCTCGGTGGGACCGATATGGTTAGGGTTAGGGCATAACGTAATCTTGGTGAGACCGATTACACAAACTCGGTGAGACCGATTTTGGTAATGGACACACAGAGAGGGTTGGTCAGGCAAACTCGGTGAGACCGATTCGCTCATCTCGGTTGGACCAAAACGTTACGAAAGGGAAACAGTGATTTGCATTGCAATCTCAGTGGGACCGATCGCTCATCTCGGTTTGACCGAAACGTTACGAAGTGAAACAGAGAGATTGCAATCCCATCTCTGTGAGACCAAGATCCCCATCGATGAGACCGAAAAGACTAGGGTTTGTGGCTGTGGCTATGACATCTGAACTCGATGGCGCCGCATAGATGGTTTCGGTGGAGCCGAATTTGACCTTTGGTTTGGGTCATATGTGGATGTGAGAAAGTAGTTGAGGGCTATGGAGCATATCACTAAGCACTTTGAGCAAGAAACTCATTAAGCAACATCTCATCCCCTCTTGATAGTATTGGCTTTTCCTATAGACTCAATGTGATCTTGGATCACTAAAATAGAAAATATAGAGTCTTGTGCTTTGAGCTTGAGCCAATTCTTTTGTCCTTAGTATTTTGAGGGATCCACTTTTTTTATCTATGCCATGCCAATCATTGAGCTTTCCTAGAATATTTATCTTGAAGTAGCATTAGCTCAATGAGCTATATGTTGTTAGAAATTACCAAAATCACCTAGGGATAGTTGCACTTTCAACGGGGCAGCTGACGGCGGCGGCATGCTGTGGGGCTTATAAGGCGGCGGCAGCAAGCCCCAGCGGCAGCTCCAGTCCAGCGCAGTTCTAGCCATAAGATGGAAAAGAAGGGGAAGGGACAAGCAAATCCAAAGGAATGGGGAGGAAGCGGTAGATTCCCCATGTCTCTGAAATTTTGTAGCATAACAGCAGCTTGAAACCAATCAGAATTTAGTTACAAATTGATGTTATGGATTGCATATTTGATAAGGTATTTTGAAGTAATGGTAGGGGCAGCAGCTCGAAATCGAATCCAAGCGCCCGCGAAAGTGCCAGTGTTTGGGCACATGTCACTCATGAAGATGAAGTGACTTGATGGTTCGTTAGATTGAGGGAGAGATCTTCAAAAGTATTGATCTCGGTAAAATTAAGGAAAGATTTTCAAAAGGAGGGTAGGGCATTGTTATTGCCTAGGTCTTTTAGACGTCATTGAAAACTTCATTATTGGTTTGTTTTAGGTTGTTTTTCTATTGAAACATGTCTACATTTTCATTGCATTTGATTTTCGTTTGTACTGTGTGTTTCAATTTGCATTAAAAAAAATGTTACTAAGATTTCGTCACACCCTAATTTTTTTCGGCCTCCGCCTTTGATCTCTGCCGTGAACGCTTTGTCACCGGGACCTAAGAATGCATAAAACCAAAACCCCAAATAATTTTGTTGGAAAATCAAGAACAAATATATGGCCCTAACCAAACTGAATCGACACTACAGTGTAGTACTATTCAGTTTAAGTTGATCCACCGCTTGGTGCGAGATTCAAATGCAGCCGCCCATCTTCAATCCAACAGACTACAGCTCGATCGTCTCACCGCTTCGCGCCAGCTGGAGTTTCTAGCCGACGTGGATTTAGTGAGCGCGAGTTCATTCAGTAGGTAGTTGGAACGCAACACGCGATCGAGATCTTTTCCGCTCCTCCACGCACGCAGGCGCAGCCGACCGTGACTCCAACGCAACCGCGGCCACTCGAAACTCCACGGCGGTCGACCGTCGTGAGCCGCGAGTTTGGAGGGGAAGATGCGCCGACGATGGAGTCGTCCTTGGCCACGAAACCTCGTCCCACTCGAACTGCGACGTGCTACGCGCCTGCCGCCCATGCCGACGCACCGGTCGCGATCACTCGGTTGACCGAGGAAAAATGTACCTTCGACCTTAGGATGTTTCTTTTTCCGAAAAGTCCAACGACAGGCGTGACCTTAAGATTTGATCAACCTTTACACTTAACTTATATTTACAGAAAAAATATGCCTAAGCGAACGAGTCATGCCATGTCTTGGAGAAGATGGTGTCTTGTCTTGTCTCTTGTGTGGGGTGGTGAGCACTCGCCCCAGCCCTCCGCGGCCGTCCGCTTCTTGCCGCGGCCGCGCACCATGCACGACTCCACCGCCATGAGCAGCCTCGCCGGCACGTGCGCGCAGGCCTCCAGGCGCCGGAGCGCGACGCCGGGCTCGTCGACGCCACCGTGAGCTGCCACCTCCCACCACAGCACGGCCGCCATCGCGACGCGCAGCGGCACGCGTGGCGGCCCCGCGGCGACCTGGGCCCGGAGCGCGCGGCCGGCCGCCGCGGCATGCCGACGCGCCGCCACCGCCTCGAGGCCCATCCGCCTGGCCCAGCCCTCGAGCACCGCGTCGCCCCGCGCAAGTGGCTTCTGGCCCTTGGCCGGCGGCGCCGCAGACTCGGCCGTGGACGTCCGGGACAGGGCGTCCGCGGGGCCGGGCGGCGAGACGCGCGTGCGGCGGTGGCGGAACGCGAGGAAGTTGGCGCCGTGCACCTCCGCGTCGCACGCCGCGCAGAGGAACGCCGCGTCGGCCTCGCAGCGCACGTCCGCTCCCGCGCCGCACAGCTCGCAGCGCGCCCTCGCGGTGGTACACATCCACGTCCCCGAGGCCGGCGGCGGCGGGCGGGGAGGCGGTCGACGGCCGGGGAGCGAGCGGGGCAGCAGCAGCGTGTTGTGCTTCCCCACGTCCGAGCGCGTATTTAAAGACGACCGAGGAGGCCCGTGGGGCGGGTCGGCTTTGTACTCCGTGGCAGTTTACGTGGATGCAAGCTAAGCGGCCGGAGGCGAGAGCGACGTTGGGCGGTCTGGCGAGGGCGAGGGCGTGGAGGGAGGGCCACTCGCGCGACTCCCACGTCCACGTACCCGTCGCGCTTGCACAAGCTAGCGGCTGCGGTCGACCGTCGTGAGCCGCGAGTTGGAGGGGCCGGGGGCTCCATCGGTGGGATGCGCCGACGGGACGACGGATGGGATCGCTAGAGTGATCCCTGGCCACGAAACCTCATCCCGCTCGGACTACGTACTCGGTACTACCCACGCCGGTCGCTCTCTGCTGCGTGAGCTCCACCCGCTCGAACCACGTGTATTTTTCTTTTCTAAACACACTTTATTAATTAACCAATAATATTCATTTGGATACAATGGAGGTCTTGGGGTTGAGAAGCGACAGATGGCACCCGAAATCCAAACCGAAAGCGTGTTTAGCGAGGATATGAACCTCATTATTTATGCCTCTTCCTTTAAAGATGAAGCATCAATGATCAAAGTGGGTAATAGTAGATCTAATCCGCTCAAACCACGTGGTTGGCGGCCAAAGTTGACCACCAAAAAACATGGCTGGTTTCAGTTAGGGCATCTCCAACCCAGACTTGTATAGATCCGCGGAGCGGTCCGGATGCGATTTCTTTCGCAAACCGGAGAAAAAAGTGGGGTGAGGTTTACGAGAGTCCGGACCGCTCCCAAGTCCGCTTCTAACCGCCCGGCCCACCAAAATAACCTCCCCCCTCCTGATGGGGTCACCTACTACTGGTATGATCGTGTGCCTGACATCTAAGGCCCAAAAAGGGCCCCACACCATCATTGGAAGGTACCAGGACCGTAGGCACATTCGGATGTGCACTCCCGAAAATCCACTCAGATGAACTAACGACACTCGGACATTTGCCCTCCAGTCGGCCTCGCCAAGAGCAATCGGACAGAGGAGGCGTAGGGGCGCCGTGGGAACTGCAACGGTCGAGTAGATTAACGTCGGACTTCAAGTTTAGTTATAACTGTCGTTACTAGTAACTGTTGTAGTTAAACTCCCTTGTAACGTGGCATTTATGGGTCGAGGCGCACTCTATAAGCTTCCCCTCGGCTCCATGGCAAAGGGTTCAGTACCCATTGTAATCATATACCTAAGAGAAAAACACAAGCCCCTGGGCATGAGACGTAAGGTTGTTACCTCTCCGAGAGGGGGCTCGAACTCGCTAAATCCGAGTGATACACTTGTGCCGTAACTAGGCTCTGCCCCTTGTTCGTAACCCTAGTACTCATTGTCACGTTCGTTGGCTCGACAGTTGGCGCCCACCTTGGGGTTGCTGCTACGTCTTCGTCGCATCTATACTTTTTGATTGTTTCATGCCAATATTCTACAAATTTCATATACTTTTGGCAATATTTTATATTATTTTTAGGACTAACATATTGATCCAGTGCCCAGTGACAGTCCTGTATTTTTGCATCTTTTTATTTCGGATAAAATCCATATCAAACGAAATCCAAACTCGATAAAATTTTATGGAGATTTATTTTGGAATATATGTGATTTTTGTGAGGAATGATCAACGCAAACGGAGACCCATAGCCTTCACAAGGCATCAGGGCGCCGCCACCCCCCCAGGCCGCGCAGGGTTGCCTTGTGGCCACCTCATAAGTCGGTTGGATTCCTTCTTCGGCTGCAAGGAATCTTATATCGAGAAAAAATTGTGTTAAAATTCAGTCAATCGGATTTACGGATCTCCGGATATTTAAGAAATGGTTTTCGGCCAGAAACAGGGACGCGAAATAGAAGAGAAACACACACACACACACACAAAGAGAGAGAGAGAGAGAGAGAGAGAGAGAGAGAGAGAGAGAGAGAGAGAGAGAGAGAGAGATCCAATCTCGGAGGGGCTCCTGCCCTCCGGGAGCCATGACAGCCATGGACCAGAGGGGAAACACTCCTCCCATCTAGGGGGAGGCCAAGCAAGAAGAAGAAGGAGAGGGTTCTCTCCCCTCTCTTCCGGTGGCGCCGGAGCACCACCGGGGGAACCATCGTGACGACGATCCACACCAACAACTTCGTCGCCGTCATCACCAACTATCCCCCCCTCTATGCAGCGGTGTAACCTCTCTATTCCCATTGTAATTCTCTACTTGAACATGGTTCTTAATGCTATATGTTATTATCCAATGATGTGTGACAATACTATGATGTTTGAGTAGATTCTTTTTGTCCTAAGGGTTAATTGTGATATGGTGTGATTGATATCAGTTGTATGTTAATATGGTGTTATCCTATGGTGCCCTTTGTGTCACGCAAGTGTGTAGGATTATCGTTGTAGGGTGTTGCTGTTGGGATTCGTTGCAGAAATTAAAAAAATTCTACGCATCACCAAGATCAATCTATGGAGAGACTAGCAACGAGAGAGGGGGGAGTGCATCTTCATACCCTTGAAGATCGTGAAACGGAAGCGTTGCAAGAACGCGGTTGGAGGAGTCGTATACGTAGCGATTCAGATCGCGGTCGATTCCGATCTTAGCGCCGAACAACAGCGCCTCCGCGTTCAACACACATGCAGCCCGGTGACGTCTCCCGCGCCTTGATCCAGCAAGGAGGAGGGAGAGGTTGGGGAAGACAACTCCAGCAGCAGCATGACGACATGGTGGTCGTGGAGCAGCGGTTCTCCGACAGGGCATCGCCAAGCTCAAACGAAGGAGGAGGGGCGTTGGAGAGGGGGAGGGCTGCGCCTTGGATGTGGTGCCGCTGCCCTCCCTCCTCCCCTCTATTTATAGGGTGAAGGGGGAAGGGCCGGCACCTTTAGATGAGATCTAGAGGGGGGCGGCGGCCAAGGTGAGGGGGCTTGCGCCCCAAGCCAAGGGGGGCGCCCCCTTTAGGGTTCCCCCCCAAACCCTAGGCGCAAGGGACCTAGGGTGGATGGCGCCCAGCCCACTTAGGGGCTGGTTCCCTTCCACATACAGCCCATAGGGCCCTCCGGGGTAGGTGGACCCTCCCGGTGGACCCCCGAAACCCCTTCGGTGGTCCCGGTACAATACCGACAAACCCCCGAATACTTCCAGTGACCGTATGATGACTTCCCATATATAAATCTTCACCTCCGGACCATTCCGGAACTCCTCATGACGTCCGGGATCTCATCCGGGCCTCCGAACAACATTAGGTAACCACATACTAATTCTCATAACAACTCTAGCGTCACCGAAACTTAAGTGTGTAGACCCTACGGGTTCGGGAATCATGTAGACATGACCGAGACAGATCTAAGGCCAATAACCAACAGCGGGACCTGGATACCGATGTTGCCTCCCATATTTTCCACGATGATCTCATCGGATGAACCACGATATCGAGGATTCAAGCAATCCCGTATACAATTCCCTTTGTCAATCGGTATGTTACTTGACCGAGATTCGATCATCGGTATCACAATACCTCGTTCAATCTCGTTACCGGCAAGTCACTTTACTCATTCCGTAATGCATGATCCCGTGACCAACTACTTAGTCACATTGAACTCATTATGATGATGCATTACCGAGTGGGCCCAGAGATACCTCTCCGTCATACGGAGTGACAAATCCCAGTCTCAATTCGTGCCAACCCAACAGACACTTTCGGAGATACCTGTAGTGCACCTTTATAGTTACCCAGTTATGTTGTGACGTTTGTTACACCCAAAGCATTCCTACGATATCTGGGAGGGTCACAATCTCATGGTCTAAGGAAATGATACTTGACATTAGAAAAGCTTTAGCAAACGAACTACACGATCTTGTGCTATGCTTAGGATTGGGTCTTGTCCATCGCGTCATTCTCCTAATGATGTGATCCGTTATCAATGACATCCAATGTCCATAGTCAGGAAACCATGACCATCTGTTGATCAACGAGCTAGTCAACTAGAGGCTCACTAGGGACTTGTTGTGGTCTATGTATTCACATATGTATTACGGTTTCTGGTCAATACAATTATAGCATGAACAATAGACAATTATCATGAACAAGGAAATATAATAATAACCATTAATTATTGCCTCTAGGGAATATTTCCAATAGTCTCCCACTTGCACTAGAGTCAATAATCTAGTTACATTGTGATGAATCGAACACCATAGAGTTCTGGTGTTGATCATGTTTTGCTCGTGGAAGAGGTTTAGTCAACGGATCTGCGACATTCAGATCCATATGCACTTTACAAATATCTATGTCTCCATCTTGAACATTTTCACGAATGGAGTTGAAGCGACGCTTGATGTGCCTGGTCTTCTTGTGAAACCTGGGCTCCTTGGCAAGGGCAATAGCTCCAGTGTTGTCACAGAAGAGAGTCATCGGGCCCGACACATTGGGAATAACTCCTAGGTCGGTAATGAACTCCTTCATCCAGATTGCTTCATGCGCTGCCTCCGAGGCTGCCATGTACTCCGCTTCACATGTAGATCCCGCCAGGATGTTTTGCTTGCAACTGCACCAGCTTACTGCCCCACCATTCAAAATGTACACGTATCTGGTTTGTGACTTGGAGTCATCCATATCTGTATCGAAGCTAGAATCGACGTAACCCTTTACGACGAGCTCTTCATCACCTCCATAAACGAGAAACATATCCTTAGTCCTCTTCAGGTACTTCAGGATATTCTTGACCACTGTCCAGTGTTCCATGCCGGGATTACTTTGGTACCTCCCTACCAAACTTACGGCAAGTTTTATATCAGGTTTGGTGCACAGCATGGCATACATAATAGACCCTATGGCTGAGGCATAGGGGATGACACTCATCTTTTCTCTATCTTCTGCCATGGTCGGGCTTTGAGGCTAGATCAATTTCACACCTTGCAAT